AGGAGATTTCTGAGCGGACGGCGGCGCACCCGTACCCGGAGGTGCACTCCCTGTACGTGCCTCGTATCGGCGGCGGAAGCGATGGCGCTTATGTGTGGGCGCAGCATCATGTGGGTTTTGGAGGTGAGGACTGGGACTACGTGCTGAACATGAAACGTCTTGATGTATTACGTGCGTTTGTGTGTGAGACAGCCGAGGAGTTCGGCATGGATGAGGACCAGGTGCGGCACGTTGCGATGAGGTGTGAGGACAACAGCCTGCTGGTGGACTTCGAAATGCGCCGCCCGGCGTCACTGTCGGAGGCGGATGCCAAGAATCATCTCAGAGATTGCAGGTACCGTGGCTTGTGGGCTCTGTACGAGGCGCAGCCTGTGGGTGAAGAACGGATGGTAACCACCACACACGAACTTGGCTTTGAGGGTGGCGAATGGGGCCACGTGCTGGAGAAGCGACGTGCGGATATGGAGGAGGTTGCGGCGGCCGAGACAGCACGCGCCCTGCAGTGCGAGCGCGGGGATGTGAGTGACGTGGTGTTGGACGTTACTCCAAAGATCCTTATTGTTTTCGTAAAACTGAGGCACTCTTCTTTCCTTCAAAGGAAGACTATTCATGATCGACTGACGGAATACCCATACAATGATCTGTGGGATCTGTACGAGCCAAGACAAAATGAGGAAAAGATGATCATTACCACACATGAGCTTGGGTTTGAGGGTGAAGACTGGGACTACGTGGTGGAAAAACGACGTATGGATGTGGAGGAGGCTTTGGCTCTTGGTACAGCGCGTGCTCTGTGGACTGCCTTTGATGATATAAAAAGCGTGGAGTTGGATGTTGCCCCCAACAGCCTCATCGCGTTCGTTGCGGTTCAGAACTTAAAGGCCCTTGAGAGACGTGAAGTTCAGGCAAAACTTACTGAATATCCGTACAACGAAGTGTGGCGGCTCTATGAAACGCGTCATACGGGAGGCGGTAGTAGTACCGATGCCACAGACGTTGACCAGAAGGGCATTGAAGACTCTACCATTTATGTATGGACGCAGCATCATGTGGGTTTTGAAGGCGAGGACTGGGACTACGTGCTGGAAACGAAGCAGGACGACATGCTTTTCGCGTTTGTAGGCGACACTGCCGAGGAGTTCGGCATGGATGAGGACCACATACGAAACGTCGAGATGATTTGTGAGAACAGTAGCCTGCTGGTGGACTTCGAAATGCGACTTCCTGCGGCACAGTCGGTGGCCGAAGCCAAGAAAAGATTAGACAACTGTAAGTACAGTGGGCTGTGGGCTCTGTACGAGCCGCGACCGGCCGTAGAAGTGAAGATGGTAACCACCACGCATGAAGTTGGGTTCGAAGGTGGCGATTGGGACTACGTGCTGGAGAAGCGAAGTGCAGATGCGGAGAAAGCTGTAATCATTGGTTCAGCACAAGCCCTGCAGTGCGAGCGCGGGGATGTGAGCGACGTGGTGTTGGACGTCACTCC